ATAATGCTTTATATATCTAAAATATATAAAAAGAAATTTATTATATATTTTATAAATTAGAATAGTTTATAAAACTAATTCGGAAGTTATTTTATTTTTTATAATATAGAGTTTTTTATAATATTTAAATATTATTTTTAGTTTAAGCTATTATATATAGCTTTTCTAGATTTAATAATTTATAATTATTTTATAAAATCTTATTTATAAGTTATAAGCTATTATATTTAATAAGAGTTTTTAATTATACTTTTATAAAAATAACTATAATAAAGGCTATTAATAAAGCTTTTAAGAAAATATCTTTTTCTAGAAAAATTATATCATTAATAGAAATATATGTTTTAGGAAATTTTTTAATATATATTTAGTTTTTAGAATTAAATTCCGGATTAAATAAACTAATTTTATAAAATATTACTATAAGCTATAAGTTATAAATAATTTCCGAATTAATTTCATTTTAAAAAAAAGTATTTGAATTTATAGCTTTTTTTTTTAATTTGGCTTTAAATATTTATTTTGTTTTATTTTTATAATAAAGTATTTATTTATTTATTTAATTTTCTAAAATAAGATATAAGGTTAAAATAATAATAAAATAAAAGCTTAGTTTATTTAATTTATTAAAAAGAAAGCTTTTTAGTAATTATAAAATATTTTAAAATATAATAATTAGAATAAATTTTAAATAAAGTATTCTAAAAGCCTTTTAGTTTAATTTTTTATTCTTTTAATATTTATATTATAATAAATATTGCTTTATTATATATATTATAATTTTAGAAAAATAAGCTATAAAATATTAAAGGCTTATTTCTAAGTTATATTAAAAGAATAAACTAGTAATTATTTCTTTAAATATATTTATTTCTATTATTATAAATAAATCTAAATTATAATATTATGGAACTAAAATAGAAATTATAATATTTTTTAAATAATTAAAAGCCTTTTAATATTATTCGAATTATTTAAAAGATCTAGTAATTTATTTATATTTTTTTAATAAAGTATTTATAGAAATTATAGTAATTAAAAAAGAACTATATATTTTTAATTATTTTTAAGAATTACTAGTTATATATTATTTTAATTTTATTAGAACTTATTTTAATATTAAATATAAAATAATAAAAATCAAATATTTTATATATATAATTTTAAATTCTAATTTCTTAATATTTATTTAGAAACTAGTAAAATATAAATAGTCTAATACTTTTTATATATATTATTTATATTTTATTAGATTTTTTAAATAAATAAAAATATTATTGAAATATTATATAATATTAATATATAACCGGGCTATTTATAAAACGTTTCTAAAAAAAATATTACATTTATATATTTTATAGTAAATATAAAATATTATTAGCTTTTAAGATTTCAGGTTTATAACTATATAATAGAAAGTTTAGTAAATATTTAATTTAATATAAATTTTAGCTTTAAATAATTAATTCTTTTAAATAATATTATTTAAAAAATAGAAATTAATATAAAAATATAAACTTCTATTTACTTTCTTTTATAAAAAGAATTAATAAAATAAAAAGGGCTTAACTAGATTTAATAAGCCTTTAGCTAAATGATTTTTTAAGAAATATTTAATTTCTAGAAGCTTTTAAATAAATTATTACTAGAAAAATTAGTATTTTATATTTTTAGTTTCTTTTAGGCCTTTAATCTAAATCTTATAATTATATAGTTTATAAAAAAAAATTAGATTTTTTTTTAAAGAAAATAGAAATATATTTTTTAAGTTCTAGAAATAATATTTTTTATAATTATTAAAGTTTAGTTTTTTCTAGTTATTAATTCTCTAGACCAAAAATAGCTTTTTTTTCCCGAGTTTTAAATTCTTTATTAATTTTATAAATAGAGAATTAATTAATAATATATATATATATATATTTAATTATATAAATAAATATTATAAAAATAAAAATAGCTAGATCTAATATTTACTTTTTATTAAAGATTCATTTTTACTTTTTTGGCTTTTATTTAAATATTATATTTTAATTAAATTATAAAAGTTTCTTTTTTATAGTTTTATATAATTTCCTCTAATTAAATTAAAAAGAAAAAAACTATTTAAGAATAATAGATTTCTAAAAAATAACTTATAACAGAGTTTTATTAATTAGTGTTATTTTAATTAATATTTTTTAATTAGTATCTTTTTAATTAGTATTTTCCTTAATTAATATTTTTTTAATATTTTTTATTAGATTATTTCTTTAGCTATTATTAAAGAAATACTAATAATATAATTAAATTATATAGATTTAGGCTTATTATTTAGCTATATAAGCCTATATCTTTTATAATTAACTAGAATATTAATATATATAGCCCATTTTCTATTAAGAATATTATTATAATTTTTAAGATTTAAAATAATTAAAAATAAAACTTTTATATATTCTTTTAATAAATTTAGCTAGCTTTTTATTAAAATTATATATAATATAAAATAAGAAAAGAAGTTATAGTTTTATTTCTAAGAATTACTTTATAAGCTAAATAAGCTTTATATTAATAAAAGTAAAAAAACTTAATTTCTAATTAATTTATACTAATAATATAAAGTATTATAAAAGTATTTATTTTTATTAGATAAATTAAATTAATTTTTACTAAATTTATATTATAAGTTCTTAAAATAAAAACTTTTTTTAAAAGTATTTATTTTCCGGTTTTATATTAGAATTAGAACTTGAATTCTCTAAATATTTTATTAAAATAGATATTAAATATTCTAATAAAATAATACTTAATATAATAATTAAACTTATTATAATTATAAGATTTAATAATTAAGAAATTTTTAGTTTTTATAAGATATTATTTATACTTATAAATTTTTTTTTAATAATAATAATAAATATAAATACTTCAAATTCTTTTTTAAAAATATAAAAAAATATAAAAAAATATAATACTAGAAATAAACTTGGCTAAAATAGCTTTTATTTTCTTATATTTTTTAGTCTTTTTATATATAGCCTTAATTTACTAATTATTAATAATATAATATTAAATATAAACTAATATTACTTTTTATAAATAATTATAAAAAGAAAATATAAAATTCCTAAAATATTTAATTAAAATATATTTAAAGTTTATTAAAATTATAATAAGTATTTTATATTTTATTAGAATTAGAATATAGCTTTTTTAAATAAGAATATAATTCTAAAAACTAATAATATTAATTCGAATTATTTTTATTTCTATAAAAATTAGTTAAAATAAGAATATTATTTATAAATCTATTAGAAATATAAATAAATTTAAGATTCTTTAAAAAATATAAATTAATATTTTTTATAACTTGTTTTTAATTTAAACTAGCTAGTTATTAAAGATAATATAATCTCTAATAGAGAAAATTAGATCTAGAAACTTAATAATTCTAGTATTTCTAAAAATATATAAGATATAAAAGATTTTAAATAAAAATAAATAAAAAATAGTTCGGAATTTTTTAGAAAAAAATTCGAAATAGCTAGAATTATAGAAATAATAAAAACAAATAAAATAGAAATAACTAAAGCTATTATAAATTAATTTATTATAATTATATAATATTTAATATTTCCTTTGAATTTAATATTATAAAACTTAATATTTTCGAAAATAGCTTTATTATAATTATAAATATTCTAATATAAAAAAGCTTTATAAATATTATTTTAATAGCTTTTTATAATAATATTAATATTTAAAAATAAAGTATTAGATTTTCTAGTTCATTTATATAAATTCTGTTAATAGTAATATACATTATTAGTTTTTTAGAGACTTTATAATAAAATAAAGAATTTTATTTTTATAAATTTATTTAATAAAATTCTTAGAATATTAATAGAATATTTGATTTAGAAAAGCTATTAATAGAATAATCTAAACTAATAAAAGCTTTAGAAATCTCAATAGAAATTAATATAGTTTCTAATTATATATATTCTAAGAAATTAATTTATTATATTTTTTCTTTTATTATATTTTCTCTAATAATCTTATTATTATTAATATATATAAAACCTATAAAATTATAAAATAGAACTTAAAAATAATAATTAGATTACTAGTTTATAAGTATTTATTATTCTAAAATTTAATTAAAGAATAGCTTTTATATAAAAGTTTTTTAATTTTCGGGATTTTTTAAAAAGATTTCTAATATATTATTAATATATATTTATAAAAATATAAATATCTAATTCTTTTAGGAGTTTTAAAGCTTTTTGCTTTTATTATTCTAAAATCTATTACTTATATTTCTAATAGTTCTAAATTAGTTTATTTAAAATTCTTTATAGAATTAAAGAAAATAAGTTTTAAATACTATTATAAATATAATATTTAGGGCTTAGAAAGCAAAATATTTTTTTTTTTATAAAGATAATTTAAAGCTAAAAAAGAAAAAACTAGAATATAAAAGGCTATAAAGAAGTATATATATCCTATAATATACTAGTTCCAAAGGGGCTTAGCCTTCTAAATATCTCTAGTACATTCTAAGCATACTTCCCTAGTAAGGCGGCCGCGTCACGTGCGTCTAGGAGGCATCTGGGCATCTAGGCATCTAATGAATCGTAATAATTATAGCCTATAATTGTATTAGAAAACTTATCTTTATTAGATATATGGTTGTTTTTTTTAATCTAATTGTCGGTTCACCAGTAACGCGTAGCACCGTTACGTAATATGCGTGGGATGCTGGTGCGTCAAAGTTAGTGAAGTGGTTGATATTCGGAAGTAAGGATCGCAGATCGTGGTGTTGATATGCGATCCCTAAATCTACTGAGCCTAATGGGGACTAGTCTACCGGTCGAGTCACGCATGCGACGCGAGCTCACATGACTAGTCACATGACCAGGAAATTCGCAGTGCAGCTATTCCGACACTAATATATAAACTAAAAAATCGATGTCGGAGTTTCGAGCATGGCGAGCTGGCCCGAACCGGGTGCGGAAATGGCTGCGTGTACTTCTCACCCGGAACGTCCAACTGGCTAAACATAGCAAAAGGAATCAACAAGATAAATTTCACCCGCTTGACCTTCATTGACCACAAACTTTAGTCGCACCCATATCCACACCATCCTCGCCGTGTCATCTCTCCATCAGCCAAGCCATGGAAGCGCATGGCACTGCTGTTGCGGCCATCGAAGCCAGCGTCCGCTCTTTCTCGGAAGTGCAGCAGCCATTTCGCATTTATCACGGCTCGACGAATAGCACCCGCGACTCGTCGCGCTATCTGGACAACACCGTGGATACAAGCAAACTCAACCAAGTCCTTCGCATTGACACGGAGGCGAAAACGGCCATTGTCGAGCCTAATGTTCCCATGGACGCTCTTTTGCAGGCGACCCTCGAGCACGGCCTAATACCCTTGGTTGTCATGGAATTCCCCGGCATCACGGCTGGAGGTGGATTCTCTGGCACGTCGGGGGAGAGCAGTTCGTTTCGCTATGGCTTTTTCGACGGGACCGTAAACTGGATCGAGATGGTACTTGCCAATGGCACTACGACGAGGGCATCAAGGACCGAGAATCCTGATGTATTCTGGGGAGCCGCCTCGTCCTTCGGAACGCTCGGTGTTGTAACGCTATTGGAAGTTCGCTTGAGGGAGGCAACCAAGTACGTCGAGTTGTCATATTATGCTGCGTCGACTATGCCCGATGCAATGAAGATATTCGAGGCCCAGACGGCGAACCCTACGGTCGATTATCTGGATGGAATCGTCTTTGCACGAGACTCTATTGTCATCTGTTCCGGCCGCCTCACCTCTTCCCTTCCCGCCGGAGCTCATGTACAGCAATTTACACGCCGCAGTGACCCATGGTTCTACATCCATGTGCAACGGAGAGTAGACATAAACACCCCTCGGGAGGAACCTGTCACGGAGTACGTTCCGCTGGTGGATTACCTATTCCGTTACGACCGCGGAGGCTTCTGGGTGGGACGCTACGCCTTCCGCTACTTCATCACCCCCTTCAACCGCATCACCCGCTCTATTCTCGACCGCTTCATGCACACCCGCATCATGTACCACGCGCTACATGCTAGCGGGCAGTCACGCATGTATATTATCCAGGACGTGGCATTGCCATATGACGCCGCGCCCAAATTTCATGAGTGGTTGCACGATGCGTTCGGCTTATACCCGCTATGGCTGTGTCCACTGCGGCAACGGCGTGATGGTGGCTGTCCTGAAGCCCGCCATGGTTTGTACGCAAGTCTTGCAGATCCGAAAGGCTCACCTGAATTCATGATGAACTTCGGTGTTTGGGGGCCGGGCTCGAAGAACCGGAGCGAGTTTGTTCGCCAGAATCGGCTTCTTGAGCACAAAGTTGACGAGCTCGGTGGGCGAAAGTGGCTATATGCACACGCGTACTACACCAAGGAGGAATTCTGGAGCATTTACGAACGTGCGGCATACGATAAGCTCCGAGCCAAGTATGGGGCGTCGTACCTGCCGAGTGTTTATGATAAGGTGAAGGTTGACGTTGAAGCCGAGGAGCGGGCTATCCACACTTTGTGGATGGCGTGGTTGCTATGGCTTTTCTGGAGCATTTGGCCATTTAGTGGACTGTATGGCGTGTATAAAGCGTGGAGAGGCGGTGAGTATTTGTTGCAGAAGGAATCGAGCTCTTCATTCCCAGCCTTGAAAGAAGATTGAGGAAATGGGCGGGGTGTCTTCTAAACAACGGGGTTGAATTAGGAGAGGTATTGCAAATAGCTTGAAGTGGCTAAATAGCCTTGGCTGGTGCTAATATCATGTCTTTTTGTGGATGGCATTTGTTCAATATTTAGATCTACAGCGTCGCAAGCTGTGTTAAAAGTATACAATTACCCCAGTTGACTAATCTCCATTCTTGGCTCATGTTTACTATAGCCATTATAGGACAAATGAAAGAAAACCTTAGCTTGCCTATAGTTAAATATTATCCACGAGTGCTCTTTAATTTAACGCAACCAGTAATGGCTCAACCCTAAATGTTATAACGAAATACCATAACAAATGTTTCAAACTCAATAGCAGACATCGAGATTTCACAAGCCTCGAAGAATATTACAATCATTGTCGCGCTTGACAAGCCTCCAATGTCCAGGTACCAAATGAGCATTGCCCGTGCGGCTCTATTTGGAGCCACTTTCATCTCTAATTCTCTAGTATTTGTCACGATTCATCAGATGCCCAGATGCCTCCTAGACGTATGTAACTCGGCCGCCTTACTAGGGAAGTATGCTTAGAATATACTAGAAATATTTAGAAGGCTAAGCCCCTTTGGAACTAGTATATTATAGGATATATATACTTCTTTATAGCCTTTTATATTCTAGTTTTTTCTTTTTTAGCTTTAAATTATCTTTATAAAAAAAATTCTATTTTGCTTTTTAAGCCCTAAATATTATATTTATAATAGTATTTAAAACTTATTTTCTTTAATTCTATAAAGAATTTTAAATAAACTAATTTAGAACTATTAGAAATACAAGTTATAGACTTTAAAATAATAAAAGCAAAAAGCTTTAGAATTTTTAATGAAATTAAATATTTATATTTTTATAAATATATATTAATAATATATTAGAAACTTTTCCGAAAATCCCGAAAATCAAAAAACTTTATATAAAAGCTATTCTTTAACTAAGTTTTAGAATAATAAATACTTATAGGCTAGTAATTTAACTATTATTTTTAAGTTCTATTTTATAATTTTATAAGTTTTATATATATATTAGTAATAAGATTATTAGGAAAAATATAATAAAGAAAAAATATAATTAATTAATTTCCTAGAATATTATATAACTAGAAATTATATTAAATTTTTATTAAGGTTTTTAAGACTTCTACTAGTTTAGATTATTTTATTAATAGTTTTTCCTGAATTAAATATCTTATTAGTATTTCTAGAAAATTTATAAATAAGTTTATAGAAATAAAATTCTTTATTTTTATTTTAAAGTTTCTAAAAACTAATAATTATATTATTATTAGAAAGTTATATAAATAAACTAGAAAATCTAATACTTTATTTTTAAATATTAATATTATTATAAAAAGCTATTAAAATAATATTTATAAAGCTTTTTTATATTAGAATATTTATAATTATAATAAAGCCATTTTCGAGAATATTAAGCTTTATAATACTAAATTCGAAAAGAATATTAAATACTATATAGCTATAATAAATTAGTTTATAATAGCTTTAATTACGTTTATTTTATTTATTTCTATTATTTTTATAATTCTAGTTATTTTAAACTTTTTTTTTTAAAAAAAAATCCGAACTATTTCTTATTTAGTTCCGTTTAGAATTCCTTATATTTTAAACTTTTTTTTAGAGATTTTAAAATTATTAAGTTTCTAAATTTAATTCTTTTTATTAGAAATTATATTATTTTTTAATAATTAGCTAATTTAGATTAAAAATAAGCTATAAGGAAATATTAATATATATTTTTTAAGATATCTTAGGATTATTTTTATTTTAATTAATTCTTATATAAATAAAAATATTTTAAATTAATATTATTAGTTTTTAGAATTATATTTTTACTCAAAAAAGCTATATTCTAATTTTAATAAAATATAAAATACTTGCTATAATTTTAATAAGTTTTAAATATATTCTAGTTAAATATTTTAGAAGTTTTATATTTTTTTTATAATTATTTATAAAAGATAGTATAAGTTAATAAAATAGTTATTATTTAAAAATAAGAATTATAGTATTATAATTTTAATATATAATTCCTAAATTTACTAAGCCTAATAGAAACTAGTTACTAGTTAAATTATTTATATAATATAAGGTTATATAATTATTATTTATTATTTATATTTTATTATCTTTAATTATTTCTTTAAAAATATAAAAAATAGTATTTTCTTTTAATTATATACTAATTCCCTAATCTGGCCTAGTATTAGATATCCAGATATCTTTACTAAGGAAATATTTATATATATTCTTTTATCTCATATATTTATTTCCTGCTCTATTTATATTCGATTTATTTTTTTATATCTAATTATATAATATTCGTATTAATAAGGTATTTAAGAATATTTGATTTTCTTTTAATTTATTTAATTTCTATAATTTCTTATTATTTATATATCTAGTAAAGATATATTATATTAATTATTAGGCGTTTCTTTTAAGTAGTATTCAATTTAATAAAGTATTTATATAATAATTTCGAATTTATATAAATAACTAGTAATAGTTTTATTTCTAATATTTTATTAATTATATATTTAATTAAAGTACCTATATTAAAACTATAAGCCATATTATAAAGTTATAAAGCTAGAATATATCTAGTAACTCTCTTGTATTTAGTAAAGAATTAGTAAATAATATTAGTATATCTAATTCTATTTACTAGAACTAGAATATATCTAATTTAGAAAAAGAAATCTCTATTATTTATAGATAAAGTATTTATAAAGATAATTAAGTCTAAAAACTTCTTTACTAGCTTTATAAATTTTAGTTCTCTAATAATATTCTTAATTTACTATTAAATATATTTATTAAGTACTTTTATATTAGTTTTTAAAAGTTTAATAACTTAAATAATAATTAATAGATTATATAAAGCTTCTAGCTAATAGACTAATATAATATATATTTTCCTAGTATATTAGATAATATATTAGATAATATATTAGATTTTAATAAAGAGATTTTAATAAAGAGATTTTAATAAAGAGATTTTAATAAATAGTATTCTTATTATTTATAATAATAATACTTTTTATAGAAATAATTTAGAAGTTTTTATATTAGTATTTTTATATAAAAGTAATTCTAGTAATATTTATATAAATAATACCTTTATTAAATTTGAGATTATAATTAAAAGTAAAGTATTTATATTTTTTAATTAAGAACTTAGCTTTTTAAAGCTTTAATTATTTTGTTTTTATAAAATTATTAGTTCTAATAAATAGGATATTATTAGTTTAAAGGCTAATAATTCTAAAAAGTTATTTATTATAAAGGAAATAAGAGTTATAATTAACTATTTTATAAAAAGCTTATTAATATAATAGAAATAATAAGTTTTAAACTAATAGTTTTATAACTTTTAAAATAATTTTTTTTTAAATTTAGCTTTTTAATAGGCTTATAAAATAAATTAATATGAAAATTATAATTAAGTAAAATTATTAATTAGATATGAGCTTATAAAATATTATATAAATATAATTCTATAATATTTATTATTATAATAATAATATTAAAAATAATTCTCTAACTAATATATTAAATAATAAATAATTAAATTAATATAATATGCTTTTTATTATTATTATAAGCTTAAATAATAAGTTTTAATTTCTTTAGTTTCTTTTTAATACCTTAATTTTTAATTTTATTAATAAATCGGAAATTAAATATATATATATATTTTAATATCTAAGATCTAGAAATAATCTTAAATATTTTTCTTTTTGGAAATCCAATAATTTTAATATAACGGAAATTGTTATACTAAATATTATCTTATAGGAATATTATAATATTAGAGTTCTTATAAAAGTATTCTTTATTATACTTTAATAAAATAGCGGAAATAATAAAAGGAATTATATTTATATTACTTTTGGCTTTATTATAAAATTTAGAAATAAGTTTAGATTTAGGGCTATTAGTAATAACCTTAATATCTCGTATATAAAAGGGCTTTATAGAAGTTAAATAAAAGATAATATTATTATATAATAGAGCTAGTATATAGTTTTTCCCGTTAATAGCTATTAGTTTATTATAGAAGAGAAACTATAATAAGACAAAAACTCATATAAAGTATACTAGAGTATAAAATATAACTTAATAATAAAATAATAAGATTAAAAGCATAAATAGTAAAATATAAATAGTATATAGTATACAAAAGCTTAATTAATTAAATATTGAGAAGGGATTATTCTCTAGAACTATAAAAAAACCAGCTTTCTTATATAATTCCTGCAAGTCATATATAAAAGGCTGCGGCCTTTGCCATATAACCAAAACCTCAAAACCGCTAAAACAATATGATTTTTGGAGAGTACGGCTTGCCGTATTACATTATATAATTTATTTTAATTACTAGATTAAATAATATTTCTTTTATATTAAATAAGAATATTCGAATTCAGAAATAGTTTATAAATATTAGTAATACTAGAATTATTTCAAGTATTTCAAGTATTTGTAATTTAATATCTAGCTTAAAGCTTCTAAATTTCTATTATTAGTTTTTTAAATACTACTAATTACTATAATATAATAAATAATAAAATATTATATTTAATTATTTAAAATAAAGTATTATAAATTAAGAAAGTTAAAATAATACTATTAGGATTTATAAAGTTATTAATAGCCTTAAAAGCTATTTAAAATATAATATTCTTATTAATTCTATTAACTTTAGCTATAATAATAAAATAAATATATTAGATTAGGCTATAATAGTATTTTATAATTCTAATAGAATTATAAGCTTTTATAGAAATAATTTTAACTTTAGTTTCTATAGTATTTATAAGCCAAATAAATTTCTTATTAATAAACTACTTTCTAGTATTTATTATAATCTAATTAGAAGAGCCTAAATAGTTATTAATCTAATATTATTTAAATATATTTCAGATATATATTATATTAATATTCTAGAGCTATTAGTCTATTTAATATTAAATACTTTTATTAATAATATAAAATATAGAAAATATTAATAATAATAGAATAATTAAAGCTAATATTATTTTTTAGATTAAACTTGAATTATTTAAATAATTAGCTATATTTCTAGTATTATTTATAATACTTTATAAGATATTTAAAGGCCTTTATATTAATATTATAATTTGCTTATTTTAGTATATTTCGGAGTTTATTAATAAATAAATA